TAACGGGGGGAGGGAGGTCCTGTACTGACGATGTCCTTGGCTTTAGCATCAGCACCGTGCTTCAACAGCATCTCCACCACCTTGTCATGACCGTTACAGCAGGCCTTGCGTAGTGGTGTTTGACCACCCAATGATGCAAACATGCAGTATATGTCCCATGTTATACCATATCCGTAACATATTCAAAGTGTAATCAATATCACACAACATCATACCAAACAGCATACGTACCTCATATTTGTATTGGGCAGCATCTCGGATACGTTGTTGGTCCCAACTGCTCACCAGCCGCAGCGCCTCTTGTGGATCTGATGACCGACACGCCCTCCACAGCTGCGCTCCATCATCACTCATGGTAACGGTATCTTCTATCCACCAACAATCTCATGAGCCCCCTCTCCAAGTACAACTCGTCCGTGAAAGTTGCAAGGACAGGTGTACTTGGTTGGTTGTCCAGCGCACGTTGTCGACTGCGAGGCGAGATCAGTGGTCTCACACCACTGAAAGCAAAAAAAACCGACAGCGATGCTTTCAACCAAAACGTTCTGGCGTCGCTGCAAGGCCCCGATCAGGAGAGCGTATCAAACACAAGTGATCAGTCACCACGCACACAAAGCAAGACACGTCAAGCAGCCCGCCGATGCCGATATCGAGACCGAGAAAAAAAGGGCAACAAGAAAAAGAAGAAGAAGAAGTCAAGAGCAAATGGCAAAGGGAAGGCAAAAAGAAAATAACCAAGTACCCGCGGATCAGCTGATAGCCAAGAGCTCTAAATCAACATAAAACCCCACCTCGACACGTCAACCCCATCCACCTCATCCGCATACGTCCAGGGCCAACTGAGGAAGCACGATCAGACAGACGTGCTTGGATGTGCAACGTAAAAATAGAAAAGCAGAAGGAGAACCAGAAGAAGAGAAGAGTAAAAAAAAAATACATGGGTGCGATCAAAGAGATGTCACATGCACAGATTTTCGGGCAATAAGCATGCAACGGCGGATCAGCCCTGATGGTAGGTATAAGTTTGCATATAAAGTACCGGTATCAAGAGCGGTTTTTGAAATGTCAGACGAACAAATTGCTTCCAAGGGTCTGATTTTGTATTAGCTTGAAGCACATTTTTTGGATGGAAATGATAGCTGCTTCGGGTCTGGATTGACCGGGTGTACACGACAACAACTGTGAGTCAGAGAGGAAAGGCAAACACGTATGCTTGTCAGAGCGGGCACATGCGGCCATCTTCCATACAGAGAGGATGTTGGAATGTGGAGACACCTCAGAGCAAAATATAATGCAAATTAGAGATACATTTCTTCGTGATACTCATTTCAGAGAAAGTACCCGACACACCTCCTAATCCAGAGAGAGCATCCATCTCAACCTTAAGCCCAAGCGCAAACAAAAGCATTTTTTCGTTCTCCGATCAAACCAGACACCGACATCGTACGTCCCCTGTGGTCGTAAACGGCAGCCAGGGCCATTCTGCTGGTCACGGATTGAACTCCCGCTGGAAAGCATTTGGACATTGTGTGTCTGTTGGCCAGGATACAAATCATCTTGACCGTGTGCAACACACACACACACTGGGAGGGGGATCGAGCGAGCCAATGAGACAACGAACGACTCGGCAGGTCACTGGCTCTACACCATCGGCGACCACATGTGCTGTGTGGCAGCCGATTTGCGATTGCTGATGAATTGCCTCCTTCACTTCTTCCGTGTTGCTCGCTCTCTGGATCGAGGCACCTGCCCACATACACATCCCCCCGCCACACACACACACCCCGTCTTGTTTGCCTCTTGGCCGTTTGGAATGTGGGCGTTCACAAGGATTTATATGATTTGGTTTTTTGGCAGTGCAAGCCAATTTTTTTTTTTTTTTTTCGATGGAGTCTTGATGGAAGACATGATTGGTTTTTCTTGGCTGCACTGCCACAACTCACCGCCATCCAATTGGTTTGATGTGATAGATGAAGTTCTGCCGCAACGTGCTGCTGCTCGCCCTTCTGCTGGCGCCCTTGGCCCTGCTCAGCCATGGTATGTCGAATCGCGGGCCATTCTCTCTGCATTGGCCTCCCCGCACATGCTCTTGTCGATTTCAAGACGACCCCGACCCCCGCCCCCCCCCCCCCCAAAAAAAAAAAGAAAAATGACTTTACTGACCTTGCGCACCGCCTCGCCTCTCGATGGAACCTTCTTGTGGTTGCAGCTCAGGATGTCGAGGAGGATGAGGACATTGAGGACACCATCGTCCTTGATGATCTTGAGGTTGAGGAAGAGGAGATCTCCCTCACCAACCTTGTGACCACAACCACCATTTTCCCCTCCCATGTCGATAAAGGTGCGTGCTGACCAATGCGACTAGGCCCCTGGCCTAGACCCCGAGTCTTGGCTCCACAACGCCCATTGTCTCCCGCACCTGCACAGTGCACCCACAAGTCCAATCTCCCCCCAGCCATTCCCAGCACTCGAGTTGGCCACGACGCTCATTGTTTGATGTTGTGCCAACCACGCCCCCTTTTTTAAACAAAAAAAAATTTAGTCTTTCCTGCCGGTTCCATCGTGTCTGCCGTCGTCGGTGTTCGCAACGCCGCCAGCGAGCCCATCATTGTCAACGCCATGGCTGCCTCGATCCGTCCCCTCGAGGACATGACCCAGTCCTTCCAGAACGTGAGTTGGGACTGAACGTCACTGTGGAGGCGATACTGCTTCACACCGCCATCGCAATCGCAATCGCCTGCAAACACCTCAGTCTCACAGATACACACCTTGTCTTTGAATAGCTCTCTCTGATCTTCTTGGCCGACCGCATTGAGCCGGGAGAGGAGGCTAGCTTCAACTACAAGTTCCGCCCTTCGGAGCGCTTCGAGCCCGCCACCTTTGCTCTTGTCCTTGATGTTGGCTTTACTGATGCCCAGGACCGCCAGTTTGTCGTCCAGGCCCACAACACCTCAGTCACCATTACCGAGGCTGAGGACGATGGTGACCTGACCGGTCTCCTTCCATTTGTTAGCATGGCGGCCCTGGCTGCCTTTGCCTACGTCTACCTCCAGAAGCCTGAACTCCTGCAGACCGCTGCGGCCCCTGCTGCCAAGCCCGAGAAGATTGAGCGTGGTACTCGCGCCTCGGCCTCGGGCAACGAGTGGCTCAACAGCGCCAACCTGCCCCAGTCTGCCCGCAAGTAAATCGTCTAGGCCGGAATGTGATCGAGGCGCGTTGGGTTTGGAAGCACCATGCCAGGCTGCCCAGGCATCACGCTGAGCAGCCTTCCCTTTGAGGCTGCCCATTCCTTTTACGGGTTGCTCTTTCTTCACGAGCTTTTTTACTTTTTTTTTTTCTCTTGCAAACCAAATGACTTCAGTCCCCCTTTGTTTGTGTGGAAACGTGCGATGTTCTGTTTCTTTTGCCCGCATGTGTTTCCTACAAAGAAGACGGGAAAGGCAGGTGGGTCTTTTGACTGCTTTTCCCCTACCCGAAAACTTGACCCAAAGCCAATTTTAAACACAGACCTGATCTTGGTTTCTTCCTTTCTTTCTGAGAGCCCATTGACTGGATTGATACGCGCGGCAAATGAATACCGACTTTGCTGTCTCAAATCACGGGAAAGAAAATATGAGATGATTTGATTCAACCCGAGGGAAAATGCCACCGCTCGAGTGCGGCGCAGTCTGAGCACGAACGTGCAAAACATGGGAGACGCCACAAAGAAAAAGAAAACTGCTCAAACGCGCCACACACACACACAATGTGGGAGCAGGCGTGAGCACGCACACCAAAAATTGGATCAAAGGAGCTTCGAACAAGGAGCCACTCCCAATCACCCCGCAGCAACGAAGAACAACATGATCCAACGGCCAGCAAGGGATCAACAAATTACGCCCACGCACACACTACACGCAAATACAGTAAAGAGACGAGCACAGCGCGTCGCTTACACGTGAACAGCCGGATCCTAAACTCAAAGCAGATTATAGGTGGCAACAACATTAGCACAGGCCACCACTTCTCCGTCGTCCTGCTTGTGTTCCTTGACATCGTGATACACGTTGTTGAGACGGCCCAATTGGCTCTGGTTCTGTTGCGCGAGCACTTTGGCCCTTTGCTGCGCCACAGCGACAGCCGCCTCTAATGCTCTTTCGCTGCGGCATTTTTGCGTCACATGCGGTCGAAAGCAGAGGGTCAATCAAGTTCAGACATGCCAAAAACAACCGGGCAAGGTCATCATTGTTCAAGGCGCGGCATGTTGCACACAAACCTAGCAGCAGCAAAGCTCCCGGGCGAGATCACGGGAAGAATATTGATTTCTTTTAAGCAGGAGAAGTTTTTACTCGGAATCGTCATGTAGATATCCCAGGCCAGGTGTCTGCCGACCCGTTCCAAATGAGGGTGGCACTTCAGACCCACACATGCCAGTCGGGACCGAGCAGGGCATGGCACAAGGGCGAGCACCAACCGGTCGGAGAATTTGATACTAAGCTTGTATTCGGCACAAACGCGCTTCTCAGTCAAAACTTTGGATGCCATGTTCTCTCGTAGAGCGCTATGAAGTATCTCTGCGAGTTGCCAGCGGGGGTGAGGCCAGGAAAGGGCGGGTGAGTACAGCTGCCGTTGTTGACGAGCAAATCATAGACCGAGATGAGGGAAAACCAGCTGGGGGCACAAACGTTTTTCAGCCAAGAGTTGCATAATGTAGGAACGCCGCTTTTGAATGCTCTCAACGGCACTGGCGAGTGACTCTTTGTCAATTTGCAGTGTGAGACTCAGGTGATATCCATCAGGTTGCACGATGTGGCTGGCGGAGGCGTTGACAGAGATTGACTTGGTAGCAGGCGCAGCCGCGGCCTGGGTACCGGGCACCTCTGATCTTTTGTTGTCCCCGGCGGGCATGGCAGCGAGTAGACCCTCGATTTCTCTGGTGCTAGACAGCATCGTTCAGCTCCGACACCCATTCGCCCCACCCGCCTAGAAGCTTGACCCGGTACAGCGCCGGGCACTCGCACCGTTGGGTGATGTGAGCATAGATCCTCCGATACGGCTGCACTCGGCAGGGCTGGGCTGCTCTAGCGTGCTCAACACTGGTATCTGCAGCTTTGCGCCGTGCTGTCGTGCGACGAATCCTGGTTGAAAGCAGCGAGGCAGGGTGCCGGGGGCCTCCAATGAATAACAAGGACATACATAGCAAACCAAAAACGAACGAAAGCCATTCTGCAAGGATATTCAAACAAGCTCACCATGCCGCAAACCAACCTTGCCCACCATGCGCCAGCCCAAGTACAGCGCCCAGCTCCAACCCCAAACCAAAGCCCCTCCCCCCGAGTGCCGAGTGTCCGTTCAGTCACACACAACAGAAAACCCGTTTGATGCCCAAAAATTTTTGATTTTTTTTGGTGTGTCTTGAAAAAAATGAGATTGAAAATGAAGGGGTAAGTTGAAGTAATTGTACCACACACACACACACACACACACACTCTCTCTCTCTCTCTCTCTCTCTCTCTCTCTCTCTCTCTCTCTCTCTCTCTCTCTCTCTCTCACATATATGGGGATCGACTCGGTCATACTGTAGGCATCGAGTAGAGCGGGTATGTATGTGTGTTGTAGCCTTGTATGTGGCTCCTGCCAGCCACAATTGACTGCAAAAGTGGCTCGGTTTGGATGCGTGGGTGATGGACCTGTCGACCCGGATTTAGCAAGTTTAATTTCTGTTCGTGAGTGCTCCTCGGCATCACGGATCTACTCATCGCCTACATTTACCGTGGTCAAGCGCGTATACGGCAATGGTTGGGCTTTTGATCCTGTTCTCTCCGCGATCAGACCCAGGCCTTGGTTCATGTGTTTGGTGCATCACAGGTCCACTGGGCCAGCCCCTTCGCACTGCATCAGGTGCATGTCATCCAGGCTGTACATGTAGCTGGCAGAAGCATCTATGGTCAACAAATACCGCCATCGATCCACAAAACATGAGGGCGCGCAACAATCAGGGCAGGGATGCAGCAGCAGCAACAGCAGCAACAGCAGCAGCAGCAGCCGAGCTCCGCACACAAGCTACGTACAGTGGGTGCCAAGCCAGCGCTCTGCACAACAATCCGGGCCCTCCTTTGCCTCGGGACTGTAATCCCAAAACCTGCAGGATCAGGAAAGACAAACGAGTCCGCCGTGAGCGTGGGCCTGAACTTGAGCCCGGGCTTTTTTCTTCCGAGAGCCTCAAAGCTACTCGTCATCAAGACTTGCAAGCCCCTGAAAAGTCCCTCATTGCAGCATGCCGGCACCTGCACCAACCAATTGTCAGGGTCGTCTTGGCGACGGATGCTGCGCTCCGACTCGAGACCCAATGCAATGAAGAGCTGGCCACCGCGTTCATCCACTGTTTCCTTGGGCATGATTCCCAGGCGGTTGAGCGCCAATGCCAGTTCCAAGTCGTCGGCAAACGTGTCGCGATCACTCAAGACCGTCATGTTCTGGTCCACGGCCTGGCCCAGGCGCTGCAGTGCGCCTCGCGACAAAATGGTACCGGGCCCACCCGAGTAAAAGGGGATCTTTGCTTGCAGGCTCAAGTCAGTAAACAGGAAGCGACGTCCAAAGTAGTGGGTCTCTGCTGCGTCGTACTGCTGCAGAAAGTGACCCACGTTGTCCATCATCATGTACGTGTCGTCGTCACCTCGGATGAACCAATCAAAGTGATTCAGCTCCTCCCGATAAGCGCGGAGCCAAGCGTACTTGCTCTTGCGCCACAACATGGCCCGCGATTCGCTTGAGGGCAATGTGGCCAACCAGGTGGGAAACGCGGCATCCTCTTCCGTGGTGACAAAAACCAGCTTGTCACAGTGTCGGCCCCAGGTGCGCTCGACGGCGACGGCCTTTTCCCCGTGGTTGGCTGGATTGGTCATGATCCAACAAAAGATGCGTGCGCCGCGGCGATCGGCAGGTGTCCACACGGTTTGCATGGGATTGCGTGCGATGGCAGCCCGTAGCTGGTGTGCGTGAACCGTGTCGTCGTGCGCCCGATCTGGGTCGACCTGCTGCTGTGGCACCGCCAACGCATGGACGTGCCAGAGCTGGCTGCAGCTGCGCTGGCCGCAAGGCACGAGGCGCACCGAGGCAATGTCCTCATCGTAAGGCCTGGGCGCCGTCAAGCACAAGTCCCCCTGTGCTGTACGGATTTGACTGCTCACGTTCCAAGCAAAGTTGTCAAAGGCCTTGATTTCCCACTGCTGTGTTGACTTGGTGGCATCGCACTGGGCGAGGCGCACGACCGCACCCACCTCCACGGCTGCGTCATTCAATTCCCGGGCCCGCCAGCTGAAGATGAGACCAGGTCGAGGTAGCTCTAGATTGAAGCGAATTCAGAGCAAGCTTACCAGCGGTGTCGAGGCATTGATCAGAATGTGTGATGATGCGCCCTTGGTGGAAAGTCCAGTATTGCGACTTGATTTTGCTATTGCAGTTGTACACGATCAAACGGTTGCTGTCATAGCCATCTGGACGCGAAGCGAGTAGCACCGACAGGCATAAGCATTCGCTGAAGTCCTACAGCATGTTTATGTGTGCGTGTGCGTGTGCGTGTGTGGACTTGACTATTTCGTGACGAAACCAAAGGGACCTGGACGTGGCCTTTGAATAGTGTTGCCCTCTGGCCGAGGAGGCAAGGGTCATGATCGCACCTAGGCAGGTGGCGCTGCGCGCCACGCGAATTTGGCCAGGTTGGACTGGCGCGTCTGTTTCCCAAAAGCCATCTTGATCTTCCTCGGCGGAATCCTGGGGGCTATCATTCATGTCCTTGAGCGCACCTTGAAGGTCCTCAGGTGAGACATCGGCGGCGTGCTCCGTGTTGGCACGCTGGCGCAGCACATCACGCAATTGTTGTACGATTTCTGTCAAGTCAGTGGAATCCGATTCCGAGGCAGCGGCAGCCTGACGCTACGGATGCACACAGGCGGGACGGCTCGGTCAAGGCGAGGGTGGGCCGAGCGGTATGCGGAGTTTAGTTTTTAGTTTTTAGTTTTTAGTTTTTTTAGTTTTTTTTTTTTTTTTTTTTTTTTTTTTTTTCAAACAAATACACCGCAAGCTGGAACAAGCCAACAGCACCGCGCAGGTGGATTGGCAGTTGAGAAGCTGCAGGAACGAACCTTGTTGTTGGCGCTCAGACTCTGCGTGAGGGCCTTGACGTTGTTGGCGAGCTTGCGATGCTGGGTATTGATTTGGCGAATTTCCTGGTGCGCCTGAATCAAGTCGTTGATAATGTGTTGGACGGCACCGTTGGCGGCATGACTCAGATCCTGTGCATGAGATACGAGCTCATAGGATCGCTCCCGCAGCTCTTCCTCCCGGGCCTCAGCCTCGGCCAGATTGGCCTGTCCACAAAAGAGATGGAGCAAAAGGGGACAGACGTGAGGACGCACTCGAGTCCACATTATGGATTCAAATGGAGAGGCATAGCGCGGACAAACGTCATCGGTTTGACTGGCCGCGAGTGGGGCTTCGATGAGCTCGTCCTGTGCGCGCAGCGCACGCGGCCCGGCGCTGCGCTGAGGACTCTGTATAATTGCACAGGGTCAAGGAGGGTGTGGCATGAGACAGGGCATTTTGGCGATGCGTGCCAAGCACATTTATGGGGGCGGGGGCGGCAAAGGATACCAAAAAGCGAGAGCGTCCGGTGCGCACGCCAGCTTGGAAGGCGATGAGCATGCCAACGCCAAACATGGAGAGGGCAGCAATGGCCAGCCATGAGGCGGCAAAGGGCTTGGCTGGTTTTTTGAGCATGTTGGTTGCGTTGATGATTGGCCACCGGACAAGACAGCTCAGCAAGTGCACTGCCACACACGAGGCGCGCCGAAACAGCTGTCAAGAGGCAGACAATCAGCCCAATGAGGCAAGGACTGCGTTGCGCCGCGCAGCGTGGTGGACGGGCGAGACACGGAGGAGCGAATGAGACTCGCTCCTTTGTCGTCCTATTGTGCGATCCTACCAACACCAAGCCGTTGTGCTGGCCTGCCTTTTCCCTCGGGTCGGCAGAAACGAGTTTTGGGCAAGCTGCTGGGGGCCAACGAGCTCAAGCCACCACGAAGAAGCAACAGCCGCGAGAACGCGGACATGAAATGCCTTTTACCTGTACATATGCATTCATGCAAGCATCGACAGAGAGAGAGAGACAGAGACAGAGAGAGAGACAGAGACAGAGACAGAGACAGAGAGAGAGAGAGGCAGAGACAGAGACAGAGACAGAGACAGAGACAGAGAGAGACAGAGAGACAGAGAGGCAGAGACAGAGAGAGATGTCCGCTGCTATTTCGCGTGCGAATGTGTGACTCCTCGTCGCCACTCGCTCGTCTTATGCTACTGCCCAGGAGGGAGAAGAAGGAGACGATGGATGGATGGGTTGTCGCTGGGCAATCGATACGCTTGGTTGCTTGCTTGCTTGCGTGCTTCGTAATTCAAAGCGCGCTGTTCCTGGCTCCCACTGCCAGCAAGCAGACTGGGGAATGCCCTCATTCTCCCAGAGCTGGTGTGCCCGGCTTGTGCAGGCAACTCCAGCTTCTCGCCACCACTGCCGCCATGCTTCAGACACGCTCACGGACGAGCTATCTGATCTTGGCCGCCATTCTGGTGGCCGCCATGTTGGGCTTGGTTCAGGTCCTCCACGTCGGCCATCGCCTTGTGGACACGCTCCAGACAAAGTATGGGCACTCGCCGCTCGCTGACTACAGGCCAGGGCCAGGACCCATCGGCGGCACCGCCAACTCACGCTCCGCTGCTTGATGATGCTCACCGACCGCTCCAGGCAGGCTGAGCATGTTCAACATCGACGTGATATGCTGGCCAGCCTGGACCGCATGTTGGCGCTTTCCGAAGGTCTGCGCCATTGGCTTGTTCTTGTTGAATGGCATATGCCCCTGCCCATGCCTGATCGTTCCATTTCCGACCCCCTGATCGCCGTAGAGGCCCTGCTCAAGGGACATCAGGCCAATGCTGCTCTTAGTGACAGAGCTAAACCCGAGCCAGCCGGGCAGGCCCTGGCGGTTGACGACGATGACGTGCGCGCCGCTGCAGAGCTACTGCAAAAGGCAAAGTATGAACTCTGCGCGCCTCGACCGCGGAAGGACGGTTGCACACTCATTGGTTCCGGTACCGCCCTGATACAGCCTCGAGCCCACCGACCTTGAGGACCCGCGCAAGCTGCTCCAGCTCATTGCCGACAAGTACGGCACCGAAGTCGTGCAGCTGCGCAAGGAGCTACAGCGCTTAGACAAGGTCTGCCCGAGGATCGTGATGATGGTGACACGGTAACTGTGCCAATTCAAATGTTCACCCCCTTGGCCAAACGACGTGTTTAGGTTCAAGTGGAGCTGTACAACATGCAAGGCAGTTCACGAACGCAGATAACAGAACTCAGGACACGCCTCGATCAAGTCGCCGACGCCCTGAAACCCAGAAATGCCCCTGGAGGCGAGGAAGACGACGACGACGTGGCCGAGAAAACATTAGAGGCCAAAATCCAACAGATTCTTGATCGAAGGCAAGAAGTGGACCAGCAAAAGGCCAAGGCCAAGGCCGAAGCCGAGGCCGAGCCCATCGAGGACGAGGATCTCGACGGCATTCCCGACCCCGTCCCAAAGATAGAAGCTGGGCCCTTCATTGCCCTGATGCAAGCTCACCTTCAAGGTACGCCACGTCTTTGGTGCATATTCACCATGCCAGACACTCACACAGCCGAGCTCAAAAGCCCTTTTTCCTCACTCCGCTCTGTCGGTCAATCCTCACCCCGCCATGCCTGGCCCTGTAGGCAAGCTGTCCCACGAAGAGCTCGAGACAACGCTGGGCATTGACGCAGCCGAGGCCGCCAAACCGTTGACCTGGCGTGACGTAGCCGCGTTGAATAACGAGGATCAAAAGCAAAAGACGTTCAAGTTTCTCGTCCACGAGGGGCTCTTGGACCCCCACGAGGTCTCACTGCAAGCAGTCAGTCAGCTTCTTAATGGCGTCTTCCTGGGCCGCCGATGCCTCGAGTCAAAAGAGACGGGTGGCCGCGATGCCATGATCTTGCGCTCCTGCAGCCTGGGTGGTCCCTTTCAGCATTACGCCTGGACAGCACTCGGTCAGTTGCGAGGCGGCTACGCTGAGAATGATTGCCTCGAGGCCACGGGCACGCAGGCTGGCCAACCCATTCGCGCAGCTGCGTGCAATACAAACTCTCCTGGCCAGCGCTGGGACTTTGTACCCAGTACACCCAACGGTGTTTTTGGCCAGCTGCGCAACCGTGTTAGCGGTCTTTGCATGGATGTGGACCAGCATTCAAACGCGGACAAGGAACCCACGGTGATTGTCCAAACCTGCAGCCCCGACTGCTTTCAGCTCTGGAGCGTCACAGGAAACCGCACCTACATGGACAGTCTGCTCCCGACAGCGCAGACCGATGCACATGACCACGAGCCCCGTCTGGATCATGGACACCTTCAATTGCCGGGTGACTTGCCCGACTACGTGGCCGCATCTAAAGCAGACCCCGACCAGCCGACCAAACTTAAGATTCACCGCCGTCACCGAATTGCTTGCTGGATCATGACCAGTCCCCAGAACCATGCCACCAAAGCGGCCTTTATCAACCAGACCTGGGGGGCACAATGTGACGTTCTTCTGTTCATGACCACCCGCCACCAAGTTGGCCTCAACACGGTCGTCCTCACCCTTGGAGAAGAGGAGAACCGCCATTTCCTGTGGCGCAAAAGCATCATGGCCTGGTCCTTCCTCTATCAGCACCTGCTGAACAAGGCCGACTGGTTCATCCGCGCAGACGATGATACCGTAATTCTCATGGACAATCTTCGAGACATGCTCGATGGTAGGGTTGTTGAATCACCGACCCGAAGCGTGACCCGATGTCACTGATCATGCATCGCGCTGTAGCGCCCACGGCGTCTACAGAGTATGTGCGCGCTGAGCTAACCATCATCTCGATGTGTGCCTTGAAAATAGAAATGCAACCGACCGACCCCCACTATCTGGGCCGCCGCCTTTTGGTGGAGGGCAACGACTTTTACAGCGGTGGAGCTGCCAACATCTTGAGTCACGAAGCCCTTCGGCGCTTTGGTGAAGGCATCAAGAATCGAGCCCGCGACATTTTGCATAATGGTGATACCTTTGCAGATGATCTGTACGTGATCTTTTTCTTCAAGCAACAGAGTGCCTGTTCCCGTCTGCTCTTCACTCCCTGTGGGAGCTCACCAGCTGCGCTGTGCTGCTCAAACTGGACCCCGGCGCTTTTTTCAGAGAGCTGGCGCATAGCCTGCACAAAGTCGGCGTTGAGCGGGAGGACACTCGCGATGCACGCGAGCGCCAGCGCTTTTTCGTGCTTGGCCTTTTTGACGAGCGCACAGCACGTCGCTCGGAAAGCCCTGATTATTGGTATGCTTGGGTTGCCTGAGCTCATTGCGCCGTGTCCTCATGCTCTCACACTGGGTCACCTTGCCGCTTTCGACCAATTGGGTTCATTCTCGCCCCTTTGCTAGGTACTGGAAGTATGATTTCTACACCCCCAAGGAAGAACCCGATGAATGTTGCTCCACGCGCTGGATTGCATCGCATTGTAAGCAGATGCTAGCCAGAGGAGAGATTGTGAAAGACCAGCTCATGCCATATTGTTGAAACCGTGCTTCGCGACATAGACGTGACGCCAGAGCATTCGCTACAGCTTCAGGAGTTGCATCAGGCTGGATGTGAAGCGGCGGGCCAGCAGCCATGGAATGCTCGCGTGAGTCGACCAGCTGTATAGCGGCCTCGTCTTCAACAAGAATCTTTTCTCGACACGTGTTAAGAAGAATGTTTAATGGGCATTCGCTCGGGGTCGGCCTTGAATTCTCTTTTTTCTGGCATTCCATCGCGGAGCTAACGAGAGTTGCTTGGTTCACAAGGCACACATTTGCAACCTTGATGTCGACAGGCCTGAGTCAATCTGTAACCTCATAGAAATATTGGTCTCGGCAGCTGGTGTGATCACGCCGAGCAGGGTCATGGGAAGGAAAACTTGGCTCTCGCGCGACTGAACCAAAAAAAAAACCGCACTTTGGCGGAGATAATTAAACAGCAGTAACTGAACCGTGTATATTTTCAATTGTCTGCACAGGGCTCGAGTTTAACAAAGTGGCGACACGCAGCGACCCGTTGACAGCGACCCGTTGACAGACGCAACCAACGCTGTGGCTTACTCGGCCGGTGGTTCTTGTGCAGCCCGCTTCTTGCGCGCCAAATGAGCCATTTTTTGAGCGCGACGCGTCTTGATGCGTTCCTGATGATCTGCCTGCATCTTTTGCAGTCGCTTAAAACCATCGCCTGCCAAGCGCGGGCGCACCGCCGTCAGAACAAGTGGAGAGACAGAGCAGATGCGCATGCAGTGCGTAGCAATCATCACGACGGCTTTGGACAAGTGGGTCTGCCTTTCCCATACGTACTGCGCTCCTTTGCCAGGCGGGCTTGCACAAGGTCAGCCGTCTCGGCCACCCCTTGCGGCACTGCACCACCATCGCGATCCTCTTTCAAAGCCTCGACGCGCTCGCGGAACTTTTCGAGAGAAGCGTCATCAAACTCCGGCTATCACCCAAGTGCACATGCTGTCAGCTTAGCCAGCACTAAACACATGATTCCAACGATAGAAGGGCAAGAAGCGTGCTCGACATTCCAAGCGCAATCGCACCACAATGGCCGTCCAGTTCTTGCTATCGGCAAAGCTGTTGCTGGCTGCAAACAGCATAAATTCTTGCAGAGAGATCATGTCGTCCTGCAGAGATTTGCCAATCCCCAGAGTTGAGCACAGCGGGGTCAAGAGGGCAGCCCACATGTAGTCCACAAAGGATATGTAAACAAGCTCGTTGGCATCAAGCCATGTCTAAGAAGTAGAATACGTACCTTGTTAGTATCCACATCTGCCATAAAAGCCTGACGCATGCGCACGGCCTCATAGGCAACCGCTTGCTCATCTACAAAATCTTCAATCCTGCATGGGGACATCACATCGATTTGCCAGGCATGGCATCGTGACCAGCATACAAGGATCAGCCTCGCCAGGTTTGGGAACGTCTCAAAACATACACAATGTGCATGATATCCGGAACATGAGAGCCCACATGGCCTGGCAGGCGCATGCTTACGTGTGTAGACGAGTGGCCTCGGCATTGACGAGCGCTTCCACCTCTTGAATATCCCACCGACGGTCCGAATTGCTGTCATGCATGCTGAAAACCCCCCCCCCCCCCGGCGCTGGGTGAGGGCGCAGGCGCGTTGTTCGCTTGCGGTGCATTGCGAGGGACTGACCTTGGGCGTGAACTTCTGGCCTTTCATGCCATCAATGTTGTCCCAGACCTCCTGAAGCTGGTCGCGGTGACCCTGTGCAAGCAATTGACATCAACCTCAAATCTCAGGCCTTGAGCCCTGGCACGCTGAAGAAGGCATACAAGGAAAAGCTACAAGTCGCGCACCGGCTGAAAGTCGCGGCGCTTCTTGAGATCGGCCCAGGCCTTTTGATGCTCTTCATTCAAACGACGACGATCCGCAGCGTTGGTGGTGGCTTTCATGCGCTCGCGAAACTCGAGTTCACGCTGCATCATGTGCTCGACAAAAGCCTGACGACTCCGTTCATCCAGTTGGCCCATGAGGCGCACACGCTTCTCAACCACGTTGCGAACCAAGGCCTCGTTATGAGAGCCCTCACCCTGGAGCGCGTACCAAGGTATTTCAGGAATGAGAAAGCAAGGCTCTGAATCCAGAGACAATATAAACTAGACTGACGACAACACAGGCGAACCTTGTCGCCAAACTTGGCTTGATCGGGTCGCTCTGGCTCAGTATTGTCGGCGCGCTTGGCGGCGCGGCGCATCCGTTCAATGACTTGGCGCTTCTGCGAAATGGCACACCGAATGAGACCAGTACCTGTGGAAGATAGACAGGTGTTTAGCATTCCCAAAAAAATTGCTTGCGCCTGTCCTGCTAACCGAGGCTGGAATCACAGAGGAGTGTGTGTGTGAGTCAAACCTGTTCATCCAAGCGGCTTCGAAAGCCACGCTGCAGTTTTTGGGCCACTTGGGCCTCGACAGCCTTTTCTGCCACGCTGTCATCCTTGTTCTATTTGCAGACACCAAAGTGAGGATCTTTGTGGAAACATCGCATCCTGCCTCAAGCATGGATAGGGAGGCCAGGAGCACACGAAGAGCCCATACCGCTCGAAGGGCCTCGAGGACGCTCTTGGCCATGTTGGGATCCTTGACTAGCTGATCGGCAGTTTCTTCCTCGTAGCGTTCGTACTCCTTGTCGAATTCTTTCACACGCAGCAAGCGCATTTCCTCAACGCTCGGCCACAGCTTTTTGGGTTTTGGCTCGGCACGCACGGGAGCTTGGTCGGCCTTGGCATTCCCCAAGGCTTGCGCTTGCTGCTCCTGCTGCTCCTGCTGCTCCTGCTCCTGCTCTTGCTGCTCCTGCTCCTGCTCTTGGTAATCTATGGCAACATCCATGGCCATGAATGTATAGCACCAGCGAGGACGCACATTTCGCCGAGAGCGCGACTTGTCAAGATCGTACATTGATCATCCTCATCATCATATTCGTCGTAATCGACGACCTGCGCCATTTGAGCGAGCCAGGGCAGCGAACATCACGAGTCAGCGACGGTCCAGGGTGGTTGGTGAGTACGGTGGACGAACGTACATCTGCGGCCAAGTGAATGTCTGGCAAGTCTTCGCTGGCTGGATCAGGCGGTGAGGGTTGCGTGTCTTGCTGCGTTGCAAGCATGGTTCGTGCACCACCCGTGACGTGGCACCAGCACACAGCTTCAGGCAGCAAAATGAAAGGCAAGCACGTACTGGAGCAGGAGGAGCAGGCTCTTCCTTTGGTGTGCCTACAGGCGCTGCATAGGCAGCCGCCAGTAGCATAACCAGCGCCACCCAAGCCATCGACAGCCGCAGCACCGATAAGCGCCCCATCCTGACGGTGGACTCTGCACGGAACAGAGGAGGTGATCCGAGCACAACGGTGTCGATTCGATACTCCTGGCAAAACTACACCCCAATAAAAAGCCATAGTGAGGTCCGATCAACACTGAATAAAGACGCCCTCCCAACCTCCCCCCCCGACCCCCCCCGACCCCCTTACACTTGTTCCCTTGCCCTCCTTCCCGCTGCCCTTTATCGCCCGCCCCACTTCCGAATCACAACCAAACGAACAGACAAATTAAAAAAATGAAAAAAATGAAAAAAAATAAAAATTCGAGGGTGGGGTGTGTGTGTGTGCGTGTGTGTGTGCGGTCAGCCAGCGAGTCGGTAAGTGGAGAGAGAAAAAAGAGGCTCATGAGTCGGTTAGAGAAAGGGGAGAGGAGAGGGTGTAGAAGCGAGAGTAAAGCAGAGAGGGTGTAGAAGCGAGAGTAAAGCAGAGAGGGTGTAGAGGAGAGAGGAGAGCGGATCAGAAAAGGGATCGTAGGGTGAGAGAAGGTCATACGAGTCGAGAGTAGAGCAGATCAGAAAAGGGATCGTAGAGTGAGAGAGCAAGTGGTACGAGTCGAAAGTAGAGTTCTAATGCATTGATCAGTTGAAAAATACATGTACAAGTTTATCATGTGCCTCGACCCCGCTGCTCGAGCGGGATCGCCAGTGGAAAGCTCAAGCAGAGCGCCAAAGACACTCTTAGTTGAAGCTAAAGTCAAACTTGAGACCCGTTTCGAGCCGCTTGCGCGTTTCTTCCTCGTCCGCTGGACGCTCCAGCTCTTCTCGGCTGCGCCACTGGTGCCCGGCCTGGATGAGGGATCAGGGATGAAAACAGCATCAGTCACCCGGCGATAACAGAGTGAAAATTCAAGTGCCTGCCGACAATGAGCAAGTGCAACATCAACAAGTGCTACTACGCTGCTGATGGACGTACCGCATTCCGATCGACAAAGGCGTCACCGTTGGTCGGTTTGGTTGAGGGATGGGAGGATGATGACCCTGAAGAGGCGGCTGGTTTGGAAGCAGGCTTGGCCGCCGACTTGGCACCGGTCTTGCCCTTGGCAAAAGGATTGGGCTTTCGGCCACCAGCCACGGCAGGCTTGGCAGAGGTGACGGCAGGCTTGGTCGAGCTTGACGTCGATTTGGGTTTGCCCTCCGTGGCGCTACTCTTGCCACTCGCGACTTTGGGCTTGGCGCTCGTGACTTTGGGCTTGGTGGTCGCGACTTTGGGCTTGTGGTCGGAAGGCGACGCATGCACGGTTTTGTTGTGACGAAGTGTCGACGACGATGGACCATGCGCCGACGACTTGGCCGAGCTGAGACGATTCGGTGAAGCCTCTCGTGAGCTACCTCGCGAGCTCGTCTTGGAGGAGCCTCCTGCCGGGGACCGCGCCGAAGCTCGGGTGCCTGACTTGCTCGCGGGCGCTGAGGCCCCGGGTGTGCTCGTGCCAGAGTGAGTGCGACTCGGCGTGGCTTTGTGATGGCGGCTGTGGTGGCTGGCACCATGATGCCCGGTCGTACTCTTGGCCGTGCTTGCTTTTGTCTTGCCCGGGCTGCCCGGTGATCGTGTGGTGGCCGTGGGCTTGGAGCCGAGTGTCGGTTTGGGCTTGGTCGTGGCACTGTCATTAGGCTTCTTGACACTCTTTGTGTGAGCAGCTGCCTCGTGGCTCGAAGAGGTTTCTTTCGCCGTCGTAGATGTGGCAGGGGCTGCGGGTGGGGCTCGTTGCGGCACCATCTTGGGCTTGACGGCGGGTTTTGGTTTGGGTGCTGAGACGGTAGCCTTGCCAGTTTTGTCACATGATTCACCACTCTCACTCAGCGTCACCGATGCCGGGCGGGGCTTGGGCGCAGGCTTTGGTCCGCTGACAGATGGCCGGCGGTTTGTGGAAGCAGCAGCTGGGCGTGGTTTAGGCGCTGGTGCAGGTTTGGACTGCGCACTCGATGTTGCATTCTGTGCCGCGTCTGAAGAGGGGCTGTCCTTTTCCTGCGATGAAGAAGGGGCGGTTGTTTGCAAGTCTGCGGAAGCATCGTGCTCTTGATCAACGGCAGATGTAGCCTGGGTGTCATCCTTGCTCTGATCTTGACTCTTGTCCTCCTCATCCTCATCCTCATCTTTCTCCTTCTCCTCCTCATCTTCCTCCTCGTCTGGCGCCGCGTTGAGCGCTGCCAACTTTTGCTCCAGCTCCTGGGCCTCGCGCTTCAGACGCAAGGCTTCCTCGGCCGCTGCTTCCTGCTCCGCTTTGTGCTGTGCCTGTGCTAACCGCTATGCAGAGAAAAAGAAAAAAAAAGTCAGGTGGGCAACAGGAATGAGCTTGTAAAGCGATGAAGCAAAAGCGTCGGGCACAGCTGACCTTGGCTTCCGCGGCCTGAGCCTGCGCCTCACGCTCACGCTGTTCAGCGGCCAATTTCTCGGCAGCGTGCTGATCAAGGGTCGCGTGGTCTGGGGCATAGAAACGAGGGTGGTGCAGTAAACGCCAGCTGTGATCGTGGCTGACGACTGCGGGTCCAACCATGGCTTCGGGCGCACGTATGAGGTCGGCGGGAAGCGTGGCCAGAACGGATGGGGGTGGGGCTGGGGCCAGACGCCCCACTGGTTGTTGGAGTTGACCATCAGCGGTCAGAATGCTAAAGGGAGGTAAAGTCGAGTAGAACACTTCGGTACATATAAAGCTGGGATGACTGTCTGTCTCGGAAATCGCTTCCTTCACATCGATGGGCAGAGCCTCCACTTGGACTGGTGTTTGGCCAACTACAAATCATGATGCGAGGTTCAATAAGACGAGGCAATGGAGACCGGGAAAAAAAAAAAAAAAAAAAAAAAAAAAAAAAAAAAAAAAAAAAAAACACGAGGGAAAAGGGACAGAAAGCAAGTAGCAAGAGCACGCAGCACTGAGAATGAAGCAGGATGCAACATCACGGCCGGATCAGAGACCGACAGAACATGTGCCCGAACCTGAGGGTGCAGCATCAGTGGGCGAGACCGTCGCTGGTGACTTGGCCGGGCTCTCAGCTGTAACGACAGGCTCGACCGCAGCAGGTCGGCCTGGCCGCCAAATGGGTGGGCGCAAGGGCCGATCATCATCACTTTCATCTGTGTCAGTCCCAGCTGCGGATTTGCCTGAAGTTGGCGCATCATTGTCATCCGTATCTGCGCGCTCTTCCGCAGACGGCTCTACCGCTGCGTCTTCAGCTTCTTCCTGTTCCTCTTCCTCTTCATCATCGTCACTCACTCCCCCAAAGAACGGTGGCATGCGCTGCCAGTAGGAGTGCCGTCGATATGGGCACTTCAGTGAGATCATGGCTTGTTCGAGCCGCGGCAACGGCCAACGATCAAGGAGTGATTGCAAAGCTGGCACAAACCGTGGCGGGGCCTCGCTGTTGACGGCGAGCCATCATTTCACGGCGACGACGGGCATTGTATTCCTCCTCTGATTCCTCATCCTCGTCCACAGCCGCTGGTGACGGCTACAGGCGCAATGTGAAGGAAGATTAGTTTGTTCCGCCTGGATCGCGTCGAGGCAAGAAGAATTGACTCACTTCATCGCTGCCGCCGCCCAGCACATCGCTATGAAAAAGGTTGGCCATTTCCAGGGCCGCGGCCCGGGCCGCAGCCAATCGTGCCTACCAACGCGCGACCACAAGCATCGAGCACCGTGACGACCAGTGATTGCGATCAGCGCTGCTAGCTCGCCCGGACCCAAACCCATTGTTGACACCGCCTCCACCTAAACAATTTCCTTCTGCACCCACACACTGTCCATCCTTCCATCCGCTTCAAGCCTTGACGCCAGAAGACGATCCCAAAGCATGAACCATCCACCCATCCACTCCCTGATCCTTCTTCTATCAACAACCCCCAGCCCCCTCCCCTCCGCCCATGTCGTACGACATGCGATCACAGACCTCAGTATCCGCCATTCCTCCGTCCTCGAGTCAAACGCTCCAGCGAAATGAAACCTCTCGTCTCTCTCCTCTCTCTCTCTCTCAAACCAATTCACACACTCTGTCTCTCTCTCTCTCTCTCTCTCTCTCTCTCTCTCTGTCTCTCTCTCTGTCTCTCTCTCTCTCTCTCTCTCTCTCTCTCTCTCTCACAAAAGAACAGCATCACAAGCCAACGTCGATATCTTTTATTTTTGGTACGCAAACTAGCCAAATAATGTTATTGCATATCGTGGAGCATCTACAATAAGTTAAATATCTTCAACAATAACTTCCCTATTGAGGTGGCATAACGAACGGATTCGTTCTTCAGTGGTCAGAGAGAGAACGGGAACAGGGAAGGGTGGCTCTACGGCACCAGTGGTCGATGGGTCGTGTCGCTTTCTTCCCACTTAGATCAGAAACGCTGGGACTGACGCTGGCTAGTTGAACACTTGGATGGATTTCCACGCAAGATACAATGAGCTCACTGCGCAGGGCGCAGGGCAGCCTGCTTTCGTGCGCACACGCGCACCAGCCGCTGGCTGGCTATTCCGACAAATGCACGAACAACAGATAGAATATCAAGAAAACAGGCACAAGACATTTGCAAGAGTGGCAGAAGAGCTGCAAATCATTGACAAAGCACGCCTTGAAGATGCGTCTCTCCTTCAAGCTTCCGAGGAGCCGGCAAGCTCGTTGCTGCGGTCCAAGAACGGCGGGTCGGCTAGCAGCTCGTCATCGTCGTCGCTGTCAAAGGCGCCATTTTGGATGTCACCCACCGGCTGGTAGGCGAGGTCGACGCGCGCGCTGCGGCGACGATGGACGACGTAGGCGACCAAGGCCCCCACAGCAAGGACACAAGCTACGGCCGTCACGGCCGTCACGGCCATGGCCGAGTTGCTCTTCTTCTTCTTGCCGCCATCGGCGGTGGGCTGGGTGGACGGGGCCGGAGAAGACTTGGAGTGCAGCATATCAAAAAACTCTTTGTCGCACGGTTCAGTGGGCGCGGTCACGTCACAGACTGCAAAATAGTCACCCTGTACGCGCGCGTACAGCAGGGGCATGAGCTGGCCGAGGCTTGCAGGTGTATTCTGCAAAATCTTGGATGCTTGAGGCTATGTAAACCACGTACCGCGTAAAATCCGCTGGGAATGATGTCGAGCAGGGAGGGGTCAAGATGATCGGCCATCACCGCTTGGATCTCCAAGGTCTCCGCAATGCAGCAACCCAGCTCATCGCGCAGCATCTTCATGTAATCGCGGCACTCGGGCGTGCAATTCTACGAGATGATGCGAGGCGGGCGTCAGACTCGATAGAGTGACTATGCAAGATAGATATGCTGGCTAGCTCGAGTGGCTTCGGACGCACAAAATCGTTGCAAGCTCGCAGCGAGTCCGCGTCACCCTCGACAAAGCCCATCTCCATGACCTCTATCACCCAGGAGTGTACGCATGAGTAGGAGGACAAGATTCTGAACAGCGTGCAAGCATTTCCCATGCCATATAGCTGAACAATCTGAGCTGACTGGACAAGCTGAGCCGACTAAGCAGACGCACCAAATTGTTTGGCACCGCAGTAGGTCCCATCCGGAGCCTTGTGGCAAACAGTCTCCAACGTGGCAAAAACAAAGGAAAGATCCATCTATCAAGAATGCATGGCAAGGTTGTGGTGGACAAGGCAAGGCGTGAAAGGAAGAATGGGGTTTTGTTATAGGGTTCAGGTCAACGGTGACCAGGCTGGGTCAACGGTGACCAGGCTAGGTCAAACATACAATGCCAAAGTCTTTGACAATCTCGTCGAGGCCGCACGAATCCAGAAGCGCGATGAACCGCTCCAGGCAGCTCATTTCGCCGTCGACATCGCAGAGAGAGTCAAAGAGACTACGGAATTCCTACCACGCGTCCATGTATGTCAGCCGATGCAGAACAGTACAAGGCACGAGCTACCCTATTGATTGGCCGTTGAGGAGATTGGCGTGACGTGGGGCTCGCACGCATCCCCTTGCCTACCGACCTGGCTGTATGTCGCGGTGAGGTTGGCAAACCACTTGGCATCGTCCAAGCAAGAGGGTAGACCTAGCCGGTCGGGTCAGCCGACGACGATCAGTTTGGGCCGAGGCGATGAACAATGACACAACAAGAGCATAAACAGGGCAGGGCTGCGCGGTCACCGCCTACCCAAATCATCATCTCCGTCGAGTTGACAGTAGTCTGTAATGGCTGGGGAGACTGCCGCGTGGCACCCAGCAGGATGGCAAGGGTGAGTTGGTAGGTGTCAAATCAGAAAGCCTTGACGTATCCAGGACGTACTAGCGGTTTGTAGGGCGGCGAGCCTCTCCATGACCTTGCTGACACAGCCAAGCGACTGGTTGGTTGCAGGTGGCGGAACAACACAGCCAATCCGATGAGCGACGAGGGCTGAAGCCTGCAAGCGTGAGACTGTGAGCACTGGCAGGGTCACACACCTCAAAGAGCTTGGTCATGTCACACGCGCTGACGATGTCATTGCAAATATCAACGAGGCTCATGCCCGCGATGGTGGCATCGTCATCTGAAATGGCCACGTCTACGCAAGCCGTTTACCAACAAGCCAGAGCAGTGAGATCAAAAGCTTGAAGATAGCACATCGAGGGCCAGGATAGTGGTGCCGAGATGACGAGGGGGGCATGGGATGCGCTCGTTGACGTACCACACAGGCTGCGGCGATGGATTTCGTGTTCCAAGGCAGCCATGGTCGGCTGCAGGCGAAAGGCAGCCTGAGCCACCAAGCTGGCCGGGTTGGCAGCCACAGCCGCAACCAGCACCACAAGTGCCAAAAGCACAAGACGAGCCATGTCCACAGATACAGCACCTCACACGTTCCGAGCCTCCACCACGAGCAGGCAGCCAAGCGAGAGCGGCAGCCAGAGGCACCAAGTGGCGTCAATGACCAGATCAACGCACACACACACTCTCTCTCTCTCTCTCTCTCGTCCCACAGCGAGAGAGTTTGAGAGAGAGTTTGAGAGAGTTTGAGAGAGTTTGAGAGATTTTGAGAGAGTTTGAGAGAGTTTGAGAGAGTTTGAGAGAGTTTGAGAGAGTTTGAGAGAGTTTGAGAGAGTTTGAGAGAGTTTGAGAGAGTTTGAGGGAGTTTGAGGGAAAGAGAGTTTGAGAGGCCATAATCCATTAGTATTATACTTTTGGATTACATCATGCATTCTCAGGTGTTAACACTGGATGCTGCTGAACTGTGAAGAAGACGATGTAAAGTATTTCGACGACCATGGAAATATATAAATCCCAAGTCTCCTACCGTGAAATAAAGTAATTTACTTTACAAGCGCACCGTGAGAATACTTTTTGTGGCGCGCAACGGCTGCGGACACAGGGCAGCGCAAGTCGGATCAGCCGAGATAGAGGGAAGAGAGACGCGACGCGCGGCGACCGTCTTGAACGTGGCCGTGGTGGTGGGGGTGTGGGGGTGGAATCGGTGATGAGATGGGTGGAAGTGGGGAGCTGGGACTGTATTCTCTTCGGCAAGCATTCTTTCCAGACGTGCAGGACCATGGATTAGACGCAAAGCAGTGACGAGAGGAGGGACTGTGGTGTGTCAGGTTTTTTTTTCCATTCCTCTCCTCCACCACGAGGTGCCCATTTCCTTTTTTCCTGTTGATCCCCCGGCCAAATGCCGAGCGTCCGATCGGCGGTGTTGGTGGCGCTGCTGGGCGTGGCGTTGCTGCTCTCCGGGGCGTGGCTGCTTATGCAGCGGCAGAACATTCCCGTGCTGACCGACCTGAGCGCTGACCGTGTGGTGCTCGATCATGGTCTCTCGCTCGACCATCCAAGCGTGCCCGAGCCGTCGACGACAACCAGCGCCAACGGCTTGGAGGAGGGCGATGATGGCGACGATGACCGGCCCTACAATGGCGATCCCATCAGCGAGCTGACCGTACCTCCAGGTCGCCTTCGCCTGGCCACGTCCCTGCTGTGCCTTGACACTTATGAGGCCGGGCGCCTCAAGCTCTGGTACTGTTACAATGAGCAACCGTCCACTCAGGTGAATCCGCCATCTCGCCTGGCCCATGTCCTGAGCTTGTTCGCCCTAAACTTGCAACCCTTCTCACGTCCACGGCTATGCGCGACACCAAATTGGATCGCCGCGGTGGATCTCGCAGAACTTTGTATACAACCAGTCCACTGGCATGCTGTCGCTGCAACTGGATAACGCTTCTTGTCTGGGGCAGAGCCCCACCAATCCAAGCCATGTCGTCCTCCTTCCCTGTGCGTTTCATCAACACGTCGACACCACCGAGATGATGTACTGGGACTGGGTTCGCGCCGGGTCCTCTGCGCCCCTCTTTCAGCTCCGACACCGTGCGTCGGGCCAATGTCTGGAACCGCATGTTGATTTGTCGCGCTGGCACGCTCGTGGGGGGGTCCAGGCTACGTGGCGTCTCGCCGACTGTGCCATGGCACCACAGGTTGGTCCTTTTCTTTTTGCTTGCTACTGCCAGTCCCTCGCTCCCATTGCTTCGGTCCTAATGATCATTGCTTCTCGGCGCTCCCGCGGCAGGGGAACCAGTTTTGTCGGCAGCTACTGGATCGCCATGCCTTTGGCGTGGACTGGACATTTCCGGGTCCCAGACTTGAGACCAACGACACAAGCCATTCCGATCTATCGGCCACCAGCTTGTTGACGCCTTTACCCAAGCAGGCTCGGCTAGCGCGTGACTTTCGGCAAGGCACCCAGCATCGTTATTTGTGCTGGCTCATGGCTCATCCCGCCAAACTCCACACGCGCACGCGCGCCGTTCTCAGCACATGGGGCCAGTATTGTCACCATCTGGTTCTGGTCTTGCCCAACCCACACAACGGGCGCTTGCGCCAAGTGACCGTGCCCACCCGAAACGATGAGCCGTCGCTCGAACTTTTATACGTTCCCATTCCGGGCCAACGCGACCGCCGTGTCTACCTCTGGCGCAAGTCGCGGGCCGTCTGGCAATGGCTCTACGAGGGCTATGGGACCCTTTTTGACATATTTGTACGCGCAGATGACGATACCTACCTGAACATGCCTCAGCTTGCGGCACTGCTTGAGGCCCGGCAAATCGGGCCCTCCAACGCCACCTTCTTGGGGCGCCGCTATCAGGTCCAGTACGCAGGCCACAACGTCTCTTATTACTCGGGGGGATCTGGGACCATCCTGACTCAAGCAACTTTGGGACGCCTGGGTCGCGCACTGCAAGACCACGAGGCTCGTCATGGCGCAGAAGTGGCCGGAGATGAGGTGGAGGAAGGGGAGCTGGTTGATGATGATGCTGCTCGGGATCCTATCCACAACTTTGACACCTTTGCCGACGACATGGAGTTGGGCCGGGTCTTGGAACAATTGGGCATTCCAGTGAAGCAATGGAGTGATGCAGCCGGTCGGCGATTGTTCCTTGGACTGGGCCTCGATGATGAGCGACTCATGAGTCGGGAGCGGGACCCACATGCATGGCTCTGGAGTTACGACCAATCGGCGAAGCATGGGCGGGAGTGTTGCAGCCCCAAATGGGTTGGCACCCATTATCTAGATTGGCAAGCCATGTATTACATGCATGACCTGATTCTTCTGGGTTGTGAGGGGCACGGGGACGAAGTGTGGTGGTTGGAGGGCAGCTAGTGCCTGCCTGCCACGACCAAGCTTGGGGGCGTGAGACCCGGCTCGGAATTGTGTGAGAGTGGTGTCTGATGGCACCGACACGTGACTCCCAGTGCTGAGCACGATCATCAAGGTGAGTCGACGATTAACGTGACACTGCAAGAAAGCTGGGAATTTACTCGAACAAAATCAATTGAACGCATTCATTTACACGGAGGTGATCACAAAGCCTCCACTTTGTGGGAGCTGAAAAAAATGAACAACGAAAACAGAATGAGAGACCGCTGGCTGAATACATATGGCCGCATTGAGGCATTGAGGTCAACGCCATAAAAAGCACATGCAGATTATAGAGCCGAGTGCCAAGAAGTCGATGGCCCACTACCCTGCGCAAGTGCATGGTAAGGGTCTGGGAGCGCTGTGCAGAGTGGCGTGTTCTACTCAATGACGAGTGCAGGGGCGCCGCTGAGGGCAATGATGTAATCGCAAAACTCCTTGAAAAGGATCTTGCCACCGCCATTCTGATCAATCTTGCCAAACTCCGCCTCGGCTTGGGCATCCGACATGTTGCTGCCCAGCTTGGCCATGCCAGCCTTAAATTCGTTGAGGTCAATGCGGCGATCATCGTTGTCATCGAGCTCATCAAAAATGGACCAGAGACGCTCATAGAAGAACAGGTTGCGCAGGAACGCGGCAAACTCCTTCTTCTCAACCCTGCGGACACCACACAAGAGTGCGGTGAGTGAGCAGCGCGGAGCGAGACACGGGGCGCCAGGTGTGCGTTGTGTGGCGATAGCAAGCGTGTGCAGCCCGCGACTTGTGACGGTAGACACACCAGGGATCGCCGTCGCCGTCCTTGAGGGTGGTGTGCTTGTAGGCACGCATGAGAGAGGGCTTGCTCACTTCCCAGCCCTTGGCTTCAACCAAGCGGTCCAGTTCAGCCAAGCTGCAGCCACCATTGCCATTGAAATCGGCTGCGTTCCACACGTCCTGCAGCAGGTCAAGGCAAGCCGCAATGTGAGATGATGTCGTCGGAAATACATCGGGGTCAGCGCCAAGGGCAGGCGTGCATATCTCACCATGATCTTGTCCTTGGATGTGATGATCTCATACACGGGCTGCAGGCCCTCTGTAGTGAGGAGCTCGAGCTTGAGAGCCTCCTCGGGGGAGGGCTCTTCGGCTGGGGCAGCGGCAGCAGCAGGTTCGGCCTCGGTCTGCGCGGGCTCGGCCTCGGTCTGTGCGGGCTCGGCTTCAGCGGTAGCGGGCTTGTCCTCAACAGGGGCGGCCGACGCCTCGGGCTGGGCCTGGCACCAAATTCGTCAAGCCGTACAGCGAAAAGATACATTGAGTGCACGCATCGACCAAGAGGCAGCATGGCTGGAACGAACAAGGGGCGTACCTCTGGCTTGTTGCCCTCGGACGTCTCAACGGCTTTGCTGGCTTGGCAACCCATGGTGCTGGATCACAGTGTTCAAGCTGCTCAACTTGATTGATTTGGTGGGGGAGAGATGGGTTGTTGACACGCGCACAGCAAGGGTGAGTGAGCACAAGGGGAAGGAAGGAAGGAAGGAGGGAAGGAAGGAAGGGTGCAGTCGGGTCGAGAAAAATAAAAATACCGCCCACAACACCACCACCACCAACACACAGCAGCGACTCGACTCGTGGTTTTGGGTGTTGTTGGGTGTTTTGAGGTTTGGTATCACTCACCTTGCCGTAGCCGGGTGCGATGTGTACCTCAGCCCACAAGGCCACCTCCCACACCCATTATAAGGGCTGTTGTAGCGCTCCAGCTGAACCCCCAATCGGCTGCCGTATCCGTTCAACCCGTACCCACAGGACTGCAGCTGCCCTTTTGGGGAGGGGTGTGTGTGTGTGTGTGTGTGTGTGTTGGTTGTCATGGTATGCACGTCTTTGTGTATCAAAGGTTACACTTTCGTTGTAATTCGTATGGTGTGTGTGTCTCTCTCCCTCTCTCAAACCGACCAAACCAATTCATCTCTCTCTCTAAATCTTTAAGCTCTCTCAAGCCCTCTCTCTCAAGCTCTCTCTCAAGCTCTTCAAGCTCTCTCTCAAGCTCTCTCTCAAGCTCTCTCTCAAGCTCTCTCCCTCAAACTCTCTCTCAAGCTCTTTTCCAAGCTCTCTCTCACTCTCAAGCTCTCTCTCACTCTCAAGCTCTCTCTCACTCTCAAGCTCTCTCTCACTCAAGCTCTCTCGCTCTCAAGCTCTGAAACTCTCAATTTCTCTGCTTGACAAAGGAGCAAGTGGGCACTCTATTGTATCGTGCAGGGACAGCCCGCGGTGGTGACGGACTGGTCTGGCGCACTTTGATTTCCCAGGTCCTCAAACTTGGCAATGTAGGATGCATTCAAGTCATTGTTGCCGCAAACCTGGACATACGCATCCACAGAGGTGAGGTTCTCAAAGCCTTGAATTTCGGCCAGATCAAAGTTATCCTATATGCGGACAGGGGGATCATGAGGTCCGGCGATACTTCCACGCTGGTAGTGGCCGGTGCACACGAGGGCGAGGGCGAACCTTGATGTTGAGTTGCTCCCCAATGCGGGTGAGGGTGTTAAAGCCATCGATCTGTAGCAAGTTCGCATTGTTCTACAGAAAGGAGATGAATGGGCAATTAATTATCGCCGGGATGCGATAAACGGGCGAAATGAGCAGTCATGTGCTCAATTCAAAGCTGAACTGACGTTGATGGCCAAACTTGCGCCGATCACGGTGAGCGCCATGAACCCAGCGATGGTCGTCAACATCGGGTTCATCTAAAAGTTGAAGACATTGTGAGTTGTTGAAGCCTGTGAGGCAAAGAGACTGTCCCAACAACGCGGCACGATGAAGTCATGCCTCAACTAACATTCATGCTCAGGGTGTTGTGGACGGTGTGAAGTCGATCCAGGCCAGAGATGCTGGTCAAGGCATTATTATTCTACACAAGCAATTTCGCGGGGGCACAAGGGTAGGCAGCTGTCATGCATGCGTGCGTGCTGCCAACGCGAATAGGCAGAAGATGCGGATGGGAGGTTCGTACGGAAATGTTCAAGGTGCCCACGTAGGACAGGTGGTCTAATTGGTTGATCACAGACAATTTTGGATTGGACTGCAAATGCCGGCCGTTGACAGCGGGTTAGCATGCAGAATGCTCTTTTTTATGGTGGCTCAAGAAGGCTGGTGGCCTGGTTGAATGGCCTGGCCGAGGCCATGGTACAGGATCAGCCATCTCAGTGCGTTGTGCCAAACCACGTACCGAAATCAGTATGTCGTCGCCGGCTGTATTGAACAGATTCGATAACCCATTCAAACTTGTGAGCTCGGAATTGTCCTGGGCAAATTTGAAACCCCCAAGGCCCGAGCATGCATCAAAGAAAGAACCAGAGGGGGGCGATGCAGTTGACAGCAACAAAACGGTCATGGATACCATACCGTGATTTCAATGACGCCACCGACAAAGGACATTTTCGATAGATAATCAAAGTTGGTGAGTTGCGTATCCTGTCAGACCAGCATGTGGTGAGCAACCATCTGATCGAGCCACAGGTCAACCTTTGATGCATGCGGTGGAGCCCAATATTACCTTGATAATCAAATCCCCATTGATTGAACTGAGGTTCGCGAGAATTGAGAGATCTTGCGCTGTCAGCGAGGGACAGGATATCCAGCGGACGCTCTTTGTCAAGTGCCTCACCACCGGGGACAGTTGCGAGAGATCGCAGCCCAAGAAATCGGGCATGGTGGTAGTTGTCAATCGTGTGGTTGCCGGTCGCGTGGTCGTCATCGGAGGCCTGGTTGTCGACATGGGGCTGGTCGTTGATACGTCATGGTGGCCCGTTGTGGAACCATGGTGGCCCGTTGTGGAACCATGGTGGCCCGTTGTGGAACCATGGTGGCCCGTTGTAGAGGCCGAGCAAGAGGGAACACATTCCATGCGCTGGAGCAAAGACTGGATTTGAGCCTGTTGGGCCGCGAGCTGGGCCAGCACGTCGACACCGTTGATATACACGGGCTCCTGCGTCAGTGTTTCAATGTGTAGACTGCCGTCGGAGCCAGAAAAGAATCGAGCGCGCGCCGTCTCTTCGACGCCCTCCACAACTAGCAACAAGGCCGCCACCGCCACCACCATGCCAAGAACAAGACCGCCCCACCGGGCCGATTGCTCCAGCGTTTATCATGATCTCCGGTCCCTCGATCTCCCGATCTGGCAGCCGAAACCTCCCAGAAGCAGAAGCAGAAGAGGAAGGAGGAAGAGGACAGAGGAAGAGGAAGAGGAAGGAAGAGGACGAAGAGGAAGAGGAAGAGGAAGGAAGAGGACGAAGAGGAAGAGGAAGAGGAAGAGGAAGGAAGAGGACGAAGAGGACGAAGAGGAAGAGGACAGAGGAAGAGGAAGAGGAAGGAAGAGGACGAAGAGGAGGAAGAGGAGGAGGAAGCAGAGGAGGAAGCAGAGGAAGAAAATGCGCGCATCAGTGGGCGAGATCCCTCCCTTTCCCCCCTTTCCCCCTTTTCCACGCTTTCGAGTTTTGGTCTGACTCCGGACTGAACCTTTACTACCTTTGCTTTCCTACTTGACATACGCCTTGCTTGGCTTTGCCCCCTATACATGTATTTCTCCTTGCTTGACTGTTGTTCTTATTGTTTTTTATTGTTTTACATGTTAGTGACTTTTAGTGGCTTTTTGTGGCGTTTAGGGCTTTTAGTGCATGTGGGTTTTTTGACAGGATGATCTACTGATCGATGGATGATGTGCAACCGGAGCTCGCTCCGGGTAGAGAGTAAGTGGAGTGAGTGAGTGAGTGAGTGAGTGAGTGAGTGAGCGCGGAAGGTGGGACGATCGCTCACACACACACACACACACACACACACACACACATCGACTGACTCACGCACGCACGCACGCACGCAAGCATACAGTCAAGAGGAGAGGCTGACGGTAACGGCGGTTTGATGGAATCAGACAGGCCCAAGAGGATCGCGCATAGATATCGCTGGGTGGGTGTCATGTCATGTCTTGTCGTCACTGTTACCACACCCATACACATATACACAGAGATGGCGAACCATACACCCCCGCAGAACCCTTGCTGTGACTGTGCCGACTGCTGCGCTGCCGTTTTCAACCATGTCAGGGCCTACTGTTAAGGTCCCTTCAAGGTTGAGGTGAAGGTTAAAGGGGTTAAGCGGGTTAAGCAGGTTAAGCCCACACGTCAGCAGCATGCCAAGCAATTGGTCGAAGAAAAACACACACACACGCACTAACTCTACCCTTGTCTCTGAAATTCGCTTTAAAGAGGTGTTGTCATAATAGATCAGTGCTGGATAACAGTTGATAAAAACATGTTGTGAACAGTTGTTTTCTTTGAATAAGATCTTGTTTTGATTACCACTCTCTCTCTCTCTCTCTCTCTCTCTCCATTTTCCTCCAAAAGCAAAAGAGAGGTATGACTGGCTGTTTGGTGATTTGATTTGGCATCGCCCCCTTCTTCCTGGTCTTCCTGCCTCCCCTGCTCGCCTCGCCTCTCCATCTCCTCTCCATCTCCTCGCCTCCTTGCCCGCTCTTCTTCTTCATCCCCTCGCCCCGGGGCTGCCCTTTTTTTTTTTTATCAATTTCTCTGGATGCTCGCGGCTCCCTCTCCTCTCCGCGTCGCCACTCACTGCGGTGCTGCTTGGGTCGCCTCTGCGCGTAGTTGTTTTTATTTTCTGCATTTGCCTACCATCAAGATGCTGAAGAGCGTGATTGCTTTGACCATGCTGGTCGCTGCCGCCAGCGCCTGCGAGAGCGCCCTGGACCTCATCAAGTCGGCCGAGGGCTTCCGCTCTTGCACCTACGTGGACACCACCGGCCACAAGACCATCTGCTACGGCTTTAACCTCGATGCCTCGGGTGCCAAGCAGAAGATTGAGTCGGTTGGCGGTGACTGGAACAAGATTTACAACGATGGTGGCTGGTCAGTCCAATGCGCCACAAACAACCCTTCCGACTGATTTGTCTTTGCGCCTGCGTCTTCTTGCTTGGGCGTCTTGCTGTTGTGCACCTTTCTTCTTTTTCTTTTTTTTTTTTCTCGTGTTCCTTTGTGCTTGTCGTGGCTGCCATCCTGGCCACCTCCAGCAACGTTTCGTGGCATGGCGCACCCGAACCCGAGAGGGATGGGCCAGCAACACCCCAACGGATGGTGGGGCAGCAAGTTGGGCCACCTTCTCTTGTGTCGTGTCTTGTGTGTGTACGGAGGTTGGCTTGCCCAGTGTGTGTGTGTGTGAGGAAAGAAAGAGAGAAGCAATGACGTAAAGCGAAAGACCAATGAGTGGGGTGATTGTTTTTGCCTATGTATGAATGAACCACTCCAATCTTTTGTGTAGTAGTGTGCTTTTCTTCACACTCTCTTTCTTTTCGCTTTGTTTTTATCTCTCGTGCTCTCTCTCTTTCTCGCTCTCTCTTTCTCGCTCTCTCTTTCTCTTTGTCATCTCTCTATTGACCACTGCTCATCCATTCTCTGCCTCGGCTTTGCTCTAGCCTGTCCGAGTCGCAGTGCACCACCCTGCTCGAGGGTGAGGTCAAGAACGCCGCCGCCAGCGCCGTCTCCGTCTTTGGCAGCCAGTGCTCTTGCATTGAGGCCGTCCTCACTGACATGACCTACAACCTTGGCAAGGCCGGTATCGAGTCCTTCCACACCTTCATCTCCGACATCAAGGCCCACGAGTGGAGCGCCGCCGCCTCGGATGCCCGTGACTCGCTCTGGTGCCGCCAGGTCGGCAACCGCTGCACCCGTGACACTGGCATCATTGCCCAGGGCTGCGCGGCTGAGAACCAGTAAACCAGCCGCTCCCCAGCCAATGTTGCCCCGCGGTCATAATTGCGGTTGTGTTGGTCCACGTGTGACTTGACTGCCGGCCAAGGCAAACTACACACTTGTGCACCTACCACGCGCTTTGCCGTCACCCACTCGTTCTCATGTTGGGCACGAGAGCATCGGGTTGAAGGGAATCTTTACAAGGCATCGAGTTGTCTTCCTTATTCCCTTTCGAGGCTGTTTCGTATTGTCGTCTGCGGTGGGGAAGATGTGTGTACTCACGTCTTCTCGGCACATGTGAATCGATCAATTGTCCCGAAAGAAAAGAAAACACACACACACACACACACACACACACACACACACACACACACACACACACACAGCTGACTGCCAAATAAATCCCGTGTTGTTCGAAAAAAAAACCCCTAAACCAAAGAGAGAGGGAAAGGGATCAAGCTGATCTCGTGGTTGTCTGTTGACTATCCCTTGTTTTTGGGGCCCACCCGTTGTGACTTTTTGCTGGCCGTCTTTTGGACGCCGCTGCGGCTCACGCCTTGGTTTTTCTTTCGTTCCTTGCTGCTCAAGTTGGATGTGTCCCTGCGAAGCAACGCACGGCAAACCCAAAACCACGGTGATGCCAATCAAGCTGCGTAAAAGAGAGAGCGCGAGAGAGAGCTGTCAGCCAAGGAAAACCTACCGAGCACCGTCGCCACCTTGCCAATGACCCCGGCTTGATTTGCCCTTGAGATTGGCTCCACACGCCTCGCAAGCCGTGTTGTTGATCATCTGCTCCCGCGAGCACTTGCCGCAAATTTGCCTGTTGGAACGCGTTCCACCCGAGTATAGCCGCACCGCTTAGGGTTGGTCGTTGGCGCATAACAACAGGCAACAAAAGTGCAGACTCCTTACCGGTTGGCCAAGACGCCATCAATTGCCCCTTCACAGCCTGCTAGCTCGTGGCACACCGGGCACGGATACGCACGACCGCAGCACTTCCAACGGTACCACCTGCACACTCGAGCATTTCAGTAAGCATGAAGTCACAACCACAAAACAGCAAGCCGCGCGAAGGCCACACACACACACACACACACACACACACACACGCCCCCCGAATAAAGGAATCACGAGCCGCGCAACTAACGAGTCACACTTACCGATACGATTTACGAAAGTGTTGACAGGCGCCATTGTCCGGCAGAGCGCGGCCCTCAGTCATGACCTGCGGTGCCAGGGCCTTGCGGCTTTTGCCCTTGCCATCACCCACAAAGGCGCCCAGGGCCGGTAACTGCACCTCCTTCCCGCTGTCATCAAAGGTGGTAATGACAAAAGAGGTAACGGCCAGAGCAAGTTTGTCATGGCAGTGGTGACAGTTGGCTTCCACCCGCTGGCCCCGCACCTGGTGGCACAACGAGAGCCATTGAACAAGAATGTGAGCACTGGGTCAGCATCCCGCCGTGACTGGCTGATACTAAGCTTACCGCTGATTTGGCAAACAGGACATCCTCATTACACTTGAGACAGGTAGCCAGCAGACGGAGTTTGAGCACGTCCAAGATGCGACAGGCGTCCGTATCGATGTAGCTGCGCAAACAAGGAACGTGAAAGGAGGAAAAAAAATGGACAATAGACACGTTTTGTGCCAGTGAGGAGACAAGGAAAGACGCTACAACTTGAAGCGTTGTGATCCGATAAAAATTAACTGTGCACACACATACCCCAAAAGGTTGTTGCCCTCGAAGATGAGCTGTGGTCGGAATTCAGCACGCAAAATCGTTTTGCACCTACAAGACCGACGACCGCCACGGTCCGGGGGTGCTGGCCCTGAGCGGCGCTGCGGCAGACTTGAGAGCGCAGGCAAATGACAGGCTTTTGGGCAACGTACTTGGAACACCGCTTGGCCAGGCGGTTCTGGGGTGTAAAACGGCCGGAGAGGGTAACCTCAACGGCCAAGGAGCATCGCTCGCACGCCACCAGAACACCAAGCTCGTGGGTCTGAGCTGTACCCATGTTCCACCAGACATTGTGCTCCAGCTCCAAACGCGTACCACGCGGCGCGGGGTTCAGTTCAATCTCGAGGGGCTCCAGCTCTGACGGAAAGAAAAAAACAAAAATTATCAGTGTGTGTGCACGCGTGCGGCGCCAGTTCAAGAGAGATGAACAAGGAAAAAGACAACTGGCAGGTGCTTGCTAACCCGCATCTTCGTCATCATCCAAGTCATTGCTAGAGTCTGAATCGCGGAGTGCTTTCTCGCGCTCGTATTCGGCATCCAAGTGTGCGTAATCATGACCCAAATTGCCCTTGCGAGCAGCTTTCTTCTGAGCCTGCTCGGCGGCTTGTGCTTGCCACCAGGCAGAGCTCACGGCACGGTGGGCTTCGTTTTGGCGGTGAATCTCAGCCAGCATTTGTTCTTGTTCTTGGATCTGGGCTTGCAGCTCGGCTTCCCGCTGAGCCACCTGGGCCAGACGTTCGGCCTCCTAAGTTTTAGCAGGGTCAGCGGTGAATGAAGGGAAGGGCCCGGGTCGCTCGAGCACGAACAAGGGTTTTTCGTCATCACTAACCTCGCGCTCATACTCTTCGGCGCGAAGACCGCGTTCCTTCAGGGTCCGAGCTTCAAATTCAGCGCGTCGTGCTTGTGCCTGGCACAAGTCCCAAGATGTGATTTGACATGTGAATGCGAGCAAGGGCAAGGAGGTACGCCGGGAGAGCGACATCCAGACACAGCAGTTTAGGGTGGTCCAGCGCCGTGCGAGTAAGAGATGTAGGCCCAACCTCAACTTTTGCACGGGCACGCTGCTGCCGCAGCGCTTCGTGGGCTTCTTCCAAGCGGCGTTGCCTCTCCTTCATGTTGAGGCGCTCTGTGACGGGTTAAGTGATGAGCAGAATGTACGCTCAGGTCTGTGAGGTGGTTGGATGCGCAACTGTGTCCACAAATTCCAACCTTGTCGCTGCTGATAAGCATTGTAGGCCCAGTAGGTGAGACTAACAAGGCCAACCAATGCGATGACCTATCGTCGGTGAAGGTGATCCGATTAGTCATGCAAGGCGCGCAAATACGGATGGGGACGATGTGGCCCAGAACACAATGTCAACATACAGCCCCGATATTTTGAGCCGTCAGGTGATCATAGGCAAGCTCGCCGAGCCAGGTGGCGACTTCACGAGGATCGGAAAGACGAATCACTGGGCACGCGTACACAAAGGCCAAGGTTAGAATACACTCGCCAATCACAACAGAGTAAAAGCCATGGCTGTGGCGGCGGTTGCTCGTGCCGGGTGCGCAGTGGCGGGGGTTGCGTGCAAACAGCCACCTTGAAAATAGAGAAGGGCAAAGAAGAGCGCAAAGAGGGCAAGCACGGCGCCGAGCGCGCCAAGGGTTTGCTTGAGGATGGTCTAGGCCGCATGGTTTCAGGTGAGGTGGGAAGGCCACACATAATGGAGGGGGAAAGCTGCGAGCAGCAGTTGTAGAGTCAAGCTGGCGCGGCGCATACGTGGAAGCGCTCGCGATCAAGTTTGCCCGAGGTCTTTTCGCGCTTTTTCTCGCGCTTTTCGCGCTCCTTGGCATCCTTTTTGATCTGTTTTTCGCGGGCCTTTTGGTCGCTGGAGGTCTGCATGGCCCCGTCAAGGCGCGAGTTGCGACACAACAGCAGCCGTCTGTCAGGCCGGTGGTGCCCGACAGGTCCGTGGATGCGTCGGGCAACTAACTGCTGTACAGACACACCTTGTGACGAGTGACGATGCGCCGACCACCCGCCCGAGTGGCAGTGGGCAAGACACGTCCACCAGCCCCGTCGCCTGCCATGACTCGCGGTGGGGTGAAGCAGACCAACACCTCCTACACCGATACAAGACGATGAGGCATCAGCGGGCCAAGCGGAAACGAATGCAAGCAGCACTGGACCAAACGTAGCAGCGTCAACCGGAAGCAAGAAGGCAGTAGCAAGAGGCAAGGAGGCAGGAGGCAAGGAGGCAGGAGAAGGCTGGGGGAGACAGTAGGGAGGAGGAGGAGACAGGAGGAGGGAGGAGGAGGAGGAGGCAGGAGGCTCACTGACGTTGTTGTGATCAAATGAACGTGTGTGTGTGTGTGTTTTCAAGTTTTTTTTCATGTGATCAAAGACTTTTT